GTGTGTGTGAGGGGGGGAAGCGCCCGCCGTGTCGCGACAGGCGGAGCTGAGGGTGACCCGGCTCCTGGGGTCCCCCTGCCGCCCCGGTCTGTGGCCGGTGGGGGACATCCGACCGCAGGAGCCCGGCTTGGCAGGTGTGGCTCTTCTGGGTGCTGAGGTGGTGTTGGCACCTGAGAGGGGTGACTGGCGGGTGGTGAGGTGAGGCGAGGCGGTGGCAGCTTCCTAGGAAGGCATCTTGCGGTCAAGAGGTTTTGTGAGCCGTGGTGCTCAGCTGCAGGACCAGTGCTGAACGAGGTCAGACCTCGGTCTGGAAAGTTGAGGCAAGGGAGATTTAGGTTAGGTATTAGGAAAAAAAATTTTTTACTGAGAGGGTTGTCAGACATTGGAATAGGCTGCCCAGGGAAGTGGTTGAGTCACCATCCCTGGAGGTATTCAAAAAGCGAGTAGATGGGGTACTTCAGGACATGGTTTAGTGGGCATGGTTGATGGTTGGACTCGATCTCGAAGGTCTTTTCCAACCTAAATGATTCTAGGATTCTAAAGGTGGCCTTGACCTGGAGTCACCAAGCTCGCTCAGCAGGCTGAAGGGAGCTCGGGAAAGGTCCTTGGCATTCTTGGCATTCTTGGCATCGGAATGCCATTTCATTCGCTGAAGGCCGGCAAGAAATGTTTCTAAGACGTGGGCTGTGTGAGAATTAATGAGTCAGTTAATGAGTTGGTAAATGGACCTGTAATTAGGTTCAGGCGTGGTAATGACTGTAAAGCCTTTTGGAGACGTGAGGACCATCATTAGTATCTGGAGCTCACCAAGAGTGAGGAGCGTCAGTACTGACTTCTCCCACCCCTCCCTGTTAGCCACATGGGCGACCAGCAGCGGGATGCTGCCTTCTTCAGCAAGTTCCATGACATCTTTGGTTTTGGCAGATGCCGCTCTCTCCAGCATCACTCGGAAATTCCAATGTTTATTTTGTGGAGTTTTCCTGGCAGTCTTTCAGGGGGAGAAGAGGCAGCTTTCGAAGGCTGGGACAGAGTAGCTTGTCACCTATTTTGAGGTCCCGCTGTCAGGGTGCAATAATAACAGTCTGTGTGGAGATGTGCAGGTACTGAAAGAAGCTGGAATGACCGTGAAGAGGAGCAAATGGGATTTTGCTAGAGATGGGACCACCTTCCTGGTCAAAGTAAATAACTATTTCTGATGTTTGCCCTGACAAGAATAAAACCAGTTATCTGTGGAATGGCTAAACCTTCTCCTGTCCTTACACTGAAACTTTATCTGGGTTTGCTCAGACTCCCTTGATGAAGAGACCTCTTGCTATCATCCAAACCACCATCTGAGCAAATGTCCAGTGATCGTGGGGTCTGATACCATGTTGAGGCATCTAGATATTACAGTGTCAGTTTGTGAGTTTTGTTATCAATGCCGTGTTACTTGGTATTTTCCTAAAGCTCAACTTTTAAGTGATTGTAATTATGGAAGAATTTAAGCATTCACGGGGGGCGGGGTGGAAAATTGTAATCATGTGGATTCAGGCAGTTTCTTGAAAACATGTGCTAAGCATGGCATCAAAACACAGGAGGCAACAGTAAAGCATATCCTGATTTATCTCATGATTTTTGAGGAAATCCTAGTGGAGCAGTAGCCTCAGGAGAGGCAGTTTGTCGTACTGGAGAACTGGCAGCGCCTTGTGGTGGTAGAGAGCTTGAGGCTCTGGAAAGCCCATGGTACATTTTGGTGCATCTCCAGGTGAAATGTGTGAAACATCACCGCTATGGTTTGTGGTGTTGGGCACGTTGCTGCTGAGGTCTCATTTGAATGCCGCTAATTAAGTGAAAAATATTAGTAAATATAATACAGGGTGGAGTTGCCAGGTTAAGTTTGAGACCATCACATGTCTTCCACGTTCAGCTATTTGACTTGAGCATGTTGCTTCAGGCGAAGAAAAATCTACTTAAAGTGAAGATAAGGCTTTGGGGATAGTGGGACTGAAATTCTGGGAATTACTGGTTTTGAAATAGAGTCGTTAAATAAAAATGTAGGGGGGAAAAAGTGATGGGAAAATAAAGTAGAAGTGGTCTGAGTACTGCCATTTTTTGTGCAAGTGGTGATCATGCATGATAGCTAAAACCAAAAAAGGGGTGATTTATTTTAATTTTTTCCATCAGGAAACATTGTACTTCAGGCTGTTTTAAGACAAGAAAAAAGGCTCTTATCAGAAAAGGCTGCTTAAATTGGTGATCCATGGCTTCTGGAGAAAGGCAGCAGCATGCAACTGCTGCCGGGGCAGTGTGCTGGTGTGTGTAAATGCTGCTTGGGGGAGAGGGACGGGCTCCCTGCTGTACCAGGTTGGGATTGCCTTTTGCTGTGGGTTTTGTGCGCTTTCTTGTCTTCTGTCTGCCTGAAAACCATTGTCAGTCCATTTTCGAAGCCTGCAGAGGCTTTCAAGTAGGTTCCCCGCCCCCCCGGCTGATTGTGGTGGTGGTATTGGAATATGTTGCGATATGTGAGCCAGCAGGATGGCAGTAATGAAAAATCTGCGGGGCCAAACTTCACTGTGTTTTCCTAGTGCCACTTCGTTATAACTCTGCTCACACTTAGATCACCAAATTAATGCAGAAGACTGATGAACAGTGTATTTCCATAGGTCTAGTTGAATATCCTACTTTGTGACCATATAAAAAATGGCAAAAACACGCAGGAAAATTATTTTATGCCTATTTTGGATCACTATACAGTTTCCTGAAGCAGAGTTGTGTTATTTATTTCCCAAGCACAGCTGCAGTCAACCAACCAATAGCACCAGAAGGGGAAAGAAAAGACCCAGACAGGATAGGAAAGACAGAGACTCATCCAAAAATGGCCCTTGCGTCTGCAGGAAACTGCCTGTACAGTTGTGCGCTTTTCCTGACGGCTGGTAAATCTCTGTCAGTGGAGAGAGTGACTGTGTGGCAGAGGGAGGGTTTGGCCACCAAGGTTACAAGTGTCTGTTTGTGCCTTAAGATGCATGCATAAAAATTCCTGACTGAAAGCAGGAGGGAATGAAGTAAATAAAGTAATTTAGCTATGTGACAGCTCTGGGAGCTGCCTGTTCTGGTGCTTTTGGGAGCCATGTTGCTCCCAGCTGTTTGCTCCCGGTGGAGCCTACCAAAGAGCAGATGCTGCAGCTCTTGCTGACAAATAATAAACAAAATTCAGCATCGAGAGTATATGATGGTTATCTGAAGAATAGGGAGAGTCATATGTTGCGCTGCAAATGTAAAGCAAATGGAAGTTTGTAATCCCATTTGTATATTGGTGGGAGTCCTTAAAACTGTGTTGCTGCTAATAAAATGCCCAACTATGTTTATAAACTGTGATTCTGTGCTCTGGTTATGTTAAGCACTGGTCTGGTAACATATGCAGCAGATAAAAACTCCAGCTACATGGAAACACACAAATTCTGCCACGTGTACCTGCTCTTGCAATAGGTATTAGCGAGGTCTGCACCCGCATAGTGCTGCAGACACGTGAGGTGAGTTTTAAAATGTTATTGCAGGGTGTGATGGTAAATTAAAAAAAAAAAAAAATTGTTGCATGTGGAATTTGAAATAACAGCAAATTCTTATCACAATGATTGCAATGACAAGGTTATGTTGGCTCCCGTGCTCTGAAATGGGGAGGAGCCCTCTCTGAGAGTCTGATTAAGAAAAGCTGGAGTCCTTTGCCTTCTGGGCAGATTTATTTCCATGGAGGAGGAGGGGGGGAAAAAAATGTTTTATATGGTTATGCATGAAAGAAAAGAGGCCGATGTTAGTCCGGGCAGGTGTTTTAAGTTCCTACAGTTCTGCTTGCTGATGCAGCAAGTTCTGTGACTATGTGTCTCCTAAAAAACGAGGTTCAGGGTCTTGCATTCTGCATGGGTGTAGCTGGGCTGTGCAGTGGGGGACTCCTGGAAGGCAGGCTTGGAGACGTGCTTGAGGCTGCTAGGCTGCAGCCACAGGTGTGTCTTCTGAAAGTGTCCCTGCTAGAAGACAAGCAAAATTCTAAATTTAGGTTGAAAATGGTAATATCAGCTGGAAATCACTTTGTCTGTTGTTGTGGCTGTCCAAAGGTGGGGAGTGCGGTACACTGCCGAAGTTAACCTGATGTTATTTTGGATGCTCTTTCATCTATATCTAGGGATATAAAAATGTTTGCCTTCAATGATTAAAAGCTAAGAGTTAGATTTTGCTGCTGGGCCCGTTTGTATTTTGTCTGGGATTAAAAACGTATTTTGAAACATGAAGTATCATTGCCTAAAACAGAAAAACCTTGTGAGGTTATATTTTTATAGGCATTACTTACACTTGTATACATGTGTATTTGGTTCTTTGTAAGTACAGACTATTTGTCCTTGTTGGATTGCAGGTTTTGTTTTTCTTTAAATAGCAACTATTTCCGAGAGGTTACTGCTTCTCTGCAGTAATGACTGATAACAGTCTCATCGTCAATGTAATTGAAACCTGCAAATTATTTTGGAGTGATAGCTTTGAAGTTATCCTCATGCAATTTTGCATTACTTTATTGCTAAGGTTTTGCTTAAATTTTGTGTTTGATTTTTAATTTAAAAATGACAATGCTACTTAAGTTTATGTCAGCGATATGTAGGGCTTATGCAAAGAGTCCTTTTTAATTCTTCTACAAATCTGGTAAAAAAAAAAGTATCAGATGTTTTTGTTGCCTATTTGTATATATAGTGTTTTCAAGCTGACTTCACATCTTTAAAAATCTGGTAAACTTTGGGTACTACTTGAATAGGAAGTTACTCTGCCTCTTGATGAGCAGGAGCCAAAATTCTTTGAGAAAACTTGGTTATTCTGAAGTCAAGTGTATCCATCTGTCTTTCCATATCCCATGGTGTAATAGCTGGTCTGTTTTGGATTGGGACTTAACTTTTATAACAGTTTATTCATTAGGTATGCCTGGAGCAATGTTTTAACATTACAGCAAAGTTTAACGCGACAGGGCTTTGGAAGCTGTTCGGCGAGTCGCATCAGGCTGTGTTTAAAGGAGCAGATTTGCCCAGGCTGAGCCACAACAACGGAGCTGCTGGGGCAGCAGCATGGGTCAAGGCAGCCTTTTGGATCTCCTAGTGAATTTAAATCCAGAGCTTATTCCAGTCACCTCACCTGTGTACCAGACCTGACAAGCTTTACAGCGTGCAGCACTGTTCTTTAAATGCTGTGGCGAGGAGTGAATAGCATCCTAGCTTTGATGAACGTGGGTTGCAGCTGTGGTTCCATTGCAGAGGAGTGCAGTGCTGAAGAGCTGGGTATTGATTATTCTTTTGAGTGTGCCTGCTTCTGGGCACCTCTTTAATAACAGGTAGACAAACTGGAGAGAGTCTCAATGGGAGGAAAAAGGCATTAAGAGGTGCAGGAAGGCAGGCCTGCAGGGAAAGCCTGGCAGAAACGATACTTGTTTTGAATAGGGAAAAAGAGGTTTTGAGCGAAGTGTGCCAAGGCTCTTCAAACTAAAGAAAATAGTTTTTTTTTGAAGGGCATAATGACCGATTGTTCCCTAGGTCCACTGCAAGTAGGACAAGAAGTAACTGGCTTAATTTTTCAGGCAAGATATTAGGAAAATCTTTTAACTCTGTGGTTGGGTAAGCAGTGGAAAGGCTGCCGAGAAAAATGTGAACTTGGGGTATCCACACAGGGAAGGTCTAGGTATCCTTGGTTGTGCTTCAGGGCAGGGAGGTAGAGTCAGTCAACCACCGGAGGTCCTTCTGTCTACATTTACCTGCTCTGCAATTAGAGAAGCAGTCTGGCAGGTACAATGTGATTAGTCAAACTGGAATTTAGCCTGAACAATGATCTAATGTCAGTGTAATAAAAAGAGGTAATGGGGTCTTTAAAGACTGTAAGGGATCCTTGCCCTGGCTTAATACCTCACTAGAGAGACCAAACCACACCATAATTGTCCTGTGATGACTTAGTGGACCCCAGAGGAAGGAGTGCTACTTGACAACTTTTTTCCCTGCAGCACTTGGAGGTCTCTTACCAAATATAAACCAACCCAAAGTTGCTTAGCTTGTAAGGTTAGCACAAGGTAGGAGCTTTATGGCTTCAGGCCATTAGTACCTGGGGAACAGCTGTGAGAGACTTGGTTGGTTTTTGTTCAAATATTCAGGGTAATAGCACAGACTGAGAGAGGCTATTG